TGAATGTGTAAATATATATATATATTTTTCACAAAATTTTCAGTTAAGTTAATTTAGAGAAGAAGAAGGAATAAATAAAACCCCCAAACATCCAAGAGTAATCCCTGAGTGTGAATTTTCCTTAATCCACTTTTTGCTACCTTGCTCTCTCTCTATCTTGCTTTTGGTCTTATGTTCTTTTTCACTTTTGCGTTCTTTCTCTCTCACGTGCATGTGCATTCTCTCTGTCTCTCTCCCTCATTTGTTATCATCTGCTATCTCTTCCTTTTTATGCTCTGTCTTGCTCTCTTCCTCGATTTTTCTCACGGTCTCTCTCCCATTCTCTCTCCCTCTCTCTCATGCTTTTCTTGCTCACTTGCTCTTTCGCTCTCTCTCTTCCTCTCATGCTCTCTCACTCCCCCTTTCTCCCTCTCCCTCTTCCTCTCTCTGTCATTCTCTCGCTTGCTCTCACACTCTCTTTTGCACTCTTGCTGATTCTCATTCACTATCCCTTCCTCTTTACACTGTCTTACTCTCTCCCTCTGTCTCACTCTCTCGTGTGCTCTCTCTTCGGCTCTCTTATGCAATCTCTCACATTCTTGTGCACTCTTACACATGCTCTCTCTCGCACGCTGTTGCGCTCATGCCCTCTCTTGCGCGTACGCACTCACTCTTGCACTCTATCTCTGGCTCACTCCCTCGCTCATACTCTTGCTCCCTTTCTCATGTTTGCTCTCTATTGCTCTCTCTCATCTCTTGCTTTCTCTCCCACTCTCTCTACCCTGGCTCTCTTGCTTGCTCTCTCAAACTCTTTATCACTTGCTCGCTCACTCGCTCTCTTCCTCTCTCGCTCTCTTCCTCTTACTCTCCCACTTGTGCTCTTTATCATTTGTGCTCTTGCACTCTATTGCACTCTCTCTTGGGCATGCTCTTGCTCTCTCACGTGCTCTCACATGCTCTCTCTTGCTCCCTCACTCTCTCTTGCTCTCTTCCCCTCTCTCTCTCTCTCCCTCTTCCTCTTACCCCCTCTCCCACTCTCTCCCCTCCTTTCTAGCTCCCTCTCTCTTGCTCTCATGCTCACTAGCTATTTTGTTTGCTCTTGCTCTTTGTCTCACTCTTGCTCTCCTCTTTCTCTTGTGCAGTCTCACTCTCTCACTTGCTATCTAGCTCAGTCACGCTCAATCTCTCTCATGCTCTCTCGTGTGCTCTCTGTTTCTCTCATTCTTGCAAACTCTTGGTCTTTGATGCTCTCCCTTGCATGCACTCTCTCACTTGCTCTCTTGTGCTCTTGCACTCTCTCACTCTTGCTCATGCTCTCTTGCACTCTCTCGCTCACTCTCACTCGCTGTCTCATTTGCTCTCTTGCTCACTCTCTCTTGCTGTTGCACTTTCTGTCATGCTCTCTGTCATGCTCATTCTCGTACGCACTCTCGCTCACTCTCAGGCTCTCTCCCCCTTTCTCTCTCTCTTCCTCTCACACTCTCATTTTCTGTCTTGCTCTCTCTCATGTGCGCTCCCTCCCTCGATCTCTCACTTGCTCTATATTTCTCTGTATATTTCTCTTCTGTTCTTTATCACTCTCTTTTGTGGAATCTCACTCACTCGATCTCTCTCACTCTCTTGCTTGTTCTTTCTCGCAGTCTCTCACTCCTCCGCTTGCACAGCACTCTCCACTCTCTCTCTACCACTTTCTCCCTGCCTTCTGCTCCTCTCTCTCCCTCTTTATGACTCTCTCTTTCTATCTTCCTGTCATGCTCTCTCTCTGGGTCTCACTTTCTCGCTCTCTCTCTCACGCTCTCTGTCTCTCTCTCGGCATCTTTATATCTCATTTTCTCCCTCACTCCCTTGCTCTTTATTGCTCTCTCTTCTCTATCTTTCTCTCGCCCCCTCGTGCTCTTTCGCTTTCTATACCTCACACTCTCTCTCTTGTGCTCTCTCTAGTGCTCACTCTGGCTAACTCTGTCACTCACTGTCGCTTGCTCCCTGTCTCTCGTTTGCATTCTCACTCTCTTGGTCTTGCTCTCAGGCTCTCTGTTGCGCCCTCGATCATTCTCTCTTGCTCTCTCTCCCAATATTTACAACTTTCTCGCTTGCTCTCTTGCACACTTGCTCTCTCCCTCTCACTTGTTCTCTCTCACGCTCTCTCTCTCTCGCTCTCATGCTCTAGCTCCCTCTCTCTTGGCCTCTCTTGCGCTCTCTTGCTCACACTCTCTTGCTCTTTTGCTTGCTTTCTCTAGCTCTTGAATTCTTTCTCTTGCTATTTCTCCTTTTCTCTCTTTCAATCTCTCTCTCACTCTCCCTCAATGTATCACACTCTTGCTCTTGCTCTCGCTCTCTTGCTCTCATTCACTCTGTTGCTAACAATTTTATGCTCTCCCACTTGCTCTCCCATTCTGTTGTTTCCTCTTGCTGTCTCGCTCGCTCTCACTTTCTATTGCTCTCTTTTAAACTCTTTTTTGCACTCGCATTTTCTTGATCTTTCTCATGTGCGCTCTTGCTCTCTCTCTCACCCTCACACTATCTCAATCTTTCCCAAATGCGCTCTGTCGTGCTCTCTCATTCACTCTCTCAGCCTCCATCTCACTCTCTTTCGCTCTTTTGCTCTATCTTGCTCCCTCGCTCACGCTCTGACGTCCTTTCTATTGCTATCTATTTCTTGCTCTCTCGCTCATCTCGCTTTCTCCCTTTCTCTCTTGCTCTCTCCCTCGCTCTGCCTCATGTTTCTCTCTCACATGCTCTCTCTCTTGCTGTCTCACTCATTCTCATACTCTCTCACTCTTGTTCTGTCTCTCTCCCTTGCTCATTCACAATAACACTGTCTTCCTCTTTCTGCCTTCTCTCCCACATTCTCTCCTGCTCTCTCCAACTCTCTCTCCCACTCTATCATGCTCTCTTTTGCTCTCCTTCTTTTGCCCTCACTATCTCGCTCTTGCGCTCTCTCACTCTCTCTCGTTCTCTGTCTCCCTCTTTCTCTCACTCGCTCTCAGGCTCCGTCGCTCTCTTGGTCTCTGTCTCTCTCTCATGCTCCTTTGCTCGCACTTCTCTCTTGCTCTTGCTCTCTCTTCTGTGCTATCGCCCCTCTCTCCCCAACGTCTCTGTCTCAATTTTTATCTTTCTATTGCTCCCTATCTCCACTCTCAGTCTCTCTATCTCAGTCTCTCTCTTGCTCTCTCGCTATATCACTCTCTCCTCGCATGCACTCTCTCTCATCTGCTTGCTCTCCCCATCTCCTTTTGTCGCTCTCGTGCTCTCTCTCTCACTTTCTCTTGCACCCTTTCATATTGTCTCTCTCTCACTGCCTCGCCTGTTTCCTCTCTCTCTTACTTTCACACTCTCTGTCTCTCTACCACTCGCTTGCTTGCTCTCCATTGCTTACTCGCTTACTCTCGTGTGCTCTGTCACACTGTCATGCTCACTCACTTTCTCGCTGTTTCTCTTACTCTTTCTCCCTCTCCTCTCTCTTGTTCTCTCTTTCACTCTTTTGCCCCTGCTCTATCTCCCGCTCTCTGGCTTTCTCTTGTGCTCTCTCTTTCCCCCCATTCCCTTCCACATGCCCTCTCACTCACTCTCTTGCTCTCTTTTGCAATCTCTCTCTCCCGCTCTCTCTCACTCTCTATTGCATGCTCACTCTCTGCCTCTCACTTTCTCACTATATCACACGGTCTCTACGCGGCAGACAACCTCTGCCAGGAAGACTGTGGCAATGCAGACTGAAGCGCCGCATGAGCATGCAGCAGTCCAGGTCTTTGGCTGTGGGGAGTGTCTGAGCCTCTCCATGTTATCAGGGAGTAGCAAAACCAGCACCTGTCTTAGGTGTGAGCAGGTGGACGACCTACTCAGCCTGGTGGTGGAGCTGAAGGAGGAGGTAGAAAGGTTGAGGAGCATTAGAGAATGAGAAAGAAATAGACTGGTGGAGCTGCATTCTGCAGTTGTCCCAGGTAGTACACCCAGAGAACCTCTCAATTCCATCTGAGGATCCACTACCCTCTTGCCATAGGGCAGAGGGGGGCAGAATTAACAGTATTAAGAGATGAACAAGACTCAAAACATATCCCTGTTTGAGGTGGCAGGAGAACCCTTTCCCGGCCCGCCTCGCCCCCACAAGTGACCACATCCAACAGGTATGAGGCCCTGGAACTTGAGGGCCAGACAGATGAGGTCAAGGACCAAGGCCCATCTAGGGGGTTGTCTAGAGTGAGGCAGTCAAGTCTGCACCTTAAGGCCGCTCCCACTAAGGAGAAAAGGAGCATCCGGAAGAAGCGGCATGTGATTGTCGTGGGTGACTCCCTGCTGCAGGGCACAGAGGCACTGATCTGTAGACCCAACCCCTCATCCAGAGAGGTCTGTTGCCTGCCAGGGGCTCAAATAAGGGATGTTGCAGAGAGACTGCCAAAGCTTGTCCGGGCATCTGACTCTTATCCCCTGTTAGTGTTTCATGTGGGCGCTAACGATGCCATGGGGAAACTGAGAAACATCAAATGAGATTTCAGAGCCCCAGGGATGGCAGTCAAAGGTCTGGGTGTCCAGGTTGTGTTCTCCTCTATCCTGCCAATGTGGGGAATGGATATGAGGAGGAAAAGGCGGATATTACAGGTGAACAACTGGCTGCGCCACTGCTCTTGGCAACAGGGTTTTGGTTTCTGTGACCATGGGACTCTGAGGATCATCAGCTAGTGGGGAACAATGAGAACCACCTCAGCAAGAGGAGCACGTGTGTCTGCCAACAGGTTGGCCAGCCTGGTTAGGAGGGCTTTAAGCAAGAAGGGGGAAGGGGAATGTTACATGGACAGAGCAATCAGGGACAGGCAGCCAAAGCCAGAAGGTGTCCAACAGGAGTATGGTAGTAGGGAAGTGAGGATAGGAGATGATTATAGAGGGTCCTCTTTCACCCCTCCCGGGAAACCTGCAGGCTCGATTACTTCCCTTAAAAGCCTGTACACCAATGCACATAGCATGGGGAATAAACAGGAGGAACTGGAGGTCTGTGTGCGGTCCCAGCATCATGATCTCATCGGAATCACAGAGACGTGGTGGGACAGCTCGCACGACTGGAGTGCTGCCATGGAAGGCTATGTGCTCTTTAGGAAGGACAGGCTGGGAAGGCGAGGTGGTGGAGTCACTCTTTATGCGAGAGAGCAACTGGAATGCGTGGAGCTCAACCCGGGGGTGGAGGATGGGTGAGTTGAGGGCTTGTGGGTAAGGATTAGAGGGCAGGCTAATGTGGGAGACACTGTGGTAGGCGTTTGCTACAGGCCACCTGACCAGGACGAGGAAGTTGATGAGGCCTTCTACAGACAGCTGGATATTGCCTCACGGTCACAGGCCCTGGTTCTCATGGGGGACTTCAACCACCCTGACATCAACTGGAAGGACAACACAGCCAGGCACAAACAGTCCTGGAGGTTTCTGCAGAGCATTGATGATAACTTTTTAACACAGACTGTGGAGGAGCCAACGAGGAAAGGTGGGCTACTGGACCTCATACTAACAAAGAGAGAGGAACTTGTTGGAGATGTGAAGGTGGGGGCTAGCCTCGGCTGCAGTGATCATGAGTTGGTTGAGTTTAGGATCCAACGAGGAGGAGGCAGGGCTGTAAGTAGCCTTGCAACCATGGACTTGAGGAGGGCCAACTTTGGCCTCTTCAGAGACCTCCTCGGAAGAACCCCATGGGCTAGAGGTCTGGAAGGAAGGGAGGCCCAAGAGAGCTGGTCAGTATTCAAGTAGCACTCCCTCCACACTCAGGAGCGGTGCGTCCCTTTGAGTAAGAAGTCAGGCAGGAGGGGCAAGAGGCCTGCGTGGATGAGTAAGGAGCTGCTGGCAAAACTCAAACAGAAAAAGGCAATATACAGAAAGTGGAAAAAAAAGGACAGGCTCCTTGGGAGGAATATAGGAATGTTGTCAGGGAATGCAGGGATGCGACGAGGAAGGCTAAGGCACAATTGGAAATAAATCTGGCAAGGGATGTTAAAAATAGCAAGAAGAGCTTTTTCAAATATATCAATGGCAAAAGGAAGATTAGGGAAAACATGGGTCTGCTGGTGCCCTGATTACGAAAGACACTGAAAAAGCAGAGTCACTGAATGCCTTCTTCGCTTCAGCGTTTGCCAAGGGCAGCCCTCTGGAATCCCAGGCCCTAGAGACAAAAGAAGAAGCCTGGAGGGAAGACTTGCCCTGGG